AAATTTGACTAATTCATATCTAAACTAGAATTATATAAAGATACTGAAAAATCTTCACATCTATATTAACTAAGTAACTGCATGGTGTGGTTTAATTGATTCAATAAATAGACTTAAATTAATTAATAAATACCATACAAACCTCTGTTATATGTATTGTTAGAGCCTAAAATAAAATTAAGAGTGGCTATATTACTAATTTTCTTTATATAAGTAAATTTAAAAGGTATTTACAATAAGCTTCTATTTATAACACTTCCATTAGAGTCAAAATAAATGCTTAGCCAATATTAAGCAGTGTCGTTTTGACATATAGAAGATAAAGTTAAATTATAAGATGTTGATTTCAAGCACTCAGCAAAATTTAAATTAGAATAATTGAATGATGTAAGTTATACAAAATACTAATTATAAATATCGATTACACTGTTGTTTTACAGAACAAAAAATTAGTTATTTACTGCAGTTACTAATGTGTAAGTTTGATTAGTTTTTGTGGTTTTAAAGTAACCAAAATTAGTTAAATTGCATTCATCATTTGTAAAGTATTGTTAATCAGATTAATCAAATCGATCAATATTATCAACATCAGAACTTTTAGGAAAATAACAAAGACTTGCCTGTCTATCAAGGATTATATTCATAGGAATTGTGAAAGTTCGATCAGTTAAATTTAAATCTGTTATCAACAAATCTTTGATTATTATAGTTTTAGGTTAGAAATAAGTGAAATTTGATAAATAAGTCAAGCTTTGATTTGGTGTAGATTAATTAGCAGTTACATTTAACAAAGAAGTAACAGTATAATTATAAATCATTTATGGGTAAGAGCGCGAAAAGTTTTAAGCTTAATTTACTTTAAGCTTAAAACTTTGTTATATTGATAATGAATTGATTTAGTTTTCAAAATACAAAATTGATCCGTAATTCCAATAATCAGTGCAATTCAATTTTGTTGATAAATTGATTTAATAATATAAACTCATATGTTAAGGTAAGTACGAATTGTAAACATACACTGTGTAATTTAAAAATTGAACATAAAAAAAAAGTTATCTGATAGTATTTATAGATAATTCTTATAATCTACACTGGTCATATTTCTCATAAAAAAAGGATATTTAAAATTTTCTATACTCCAAACTTAGAAACAAAGATCAAAGCCTTTATTGCAAATATAAGATAAAACTAATTATTGATTCACAATGTTTATTTATTTAATTTAGAATTAACCTCTATGATTGAAATTGGAATTAGTATATTACTTTAAATGATAGAAATAATTATGACATTATAAATATTATTGATTAATAAATATTAAGAAAAACGCTAATTATTTACAACTATTTAAATAGGATTAAATTTTAGTTTACTGTCTGCATTAAATAATGTATTAATCATAGTTTCGTTAATGATTACTAAATCAGTAAAATTCAAAGTCATGATTTAAATTTCTTGATTTATAATCAAAGTTATCAAATTATAATACGTAATTAAAAATTACTAAATTTATTATTCAAATTTAAACTCTGAAGAGGAGTAGTAATTTTTTTAAAGGTAAATTAAATAAAGGTAAATTGTATAATCATCACTAAGTCCTATTATTAAATTGCAATATGAAAATGAATAGTAATTACAAGCAGAAACTTATAATTACTGAGCCTGAATAGAAATATTAATATCCATCAATGTTTCATAAGAGTAAGAAGTGATGGATATATCCAAGATTTATATTGATTCATTTGTAACTCCTATCAAGTAGCCTTTGTATAATTAGGCCAAGTTAAATGAATTTTTTATATATATCAATCCTTCCTTAATAGATCGATACTGAGGGAAATTTTTATTAAAAACTACATAAATATTTGTATCATTCTAATCTAGAATTGTAATAGACATAAACATTTTACAAATACCAGTGAAAGTCAGATTAAATTATTTAGCAAAAATTGTGATATCATAAGTTATTCCTTAAACTTATTAATCTGTTAAATTAATTGATAATTATTGTATTTTCAATTCATAGACAATTATTTATCTGTTAAATGTAAATAGATAGTTATCATAAGTATTTAAATATATTTAAGTGTTGTCATTAATTAAAATTTAGCCAATAGAATTGGATTCTTATTATTGATAAAGGGTAAGTTGCAGTTCTTATTAAATTACAATAAATTCATTATTCAAAAAAGATTAAATCAATTTTTATTGTTTAATATTAATAAAATAATCGTTTAAAGAAATGAATTGATTTTAACATCCGAAGTATTCTTCTCTATATTTTTTATCATAGTAATTAACCAAAATTTAATCACATTAAAAGTAAATTAAATAGTTATAATAAACTTGAAAATTATCAACTTTTCCATAAAATCCTAAATCGAATGGCGCTATTAATTCAAAAGTATTATTCTAAGAAATGATAAATAATTTGATGATTGATTATTCAAGTATATATATAAAAGGGTTTTCTCTTAATGGAATAGCAATCTGTATAAATTAATCTTAGTAAAATGTTAAGTTTTTAAACTGAGATGAGAATAATGTTATGATGGATATATTTTGATAATATTAGGCATATATTAGGAAAGGCTTTGATTCATTATAAATTCCTTGCATTTATGATTTAATTGGCTTATTCGCTTAGATTGAATAAACGATTTCAAAACTAGTATTCATTAGTTATAATAAATGAAAATGTCCTTCAGTATAACAATCAAGTAAGATATCTATATCAGCAAAAATATCAATATTATAGCATTTATATATTTTTTCAATTTTAACTCCTTATCCCTACTGTTAAATATTTAAGTTTTTCCATTGGTAGAGTATTATGTAATAATCTTTAGTTATTGTTGCAAAATGAGTTTGATTAGATGATACTGATATAAATTCTAATATGATTAATATTCAAAAAAAATATTATGGACCTATAAAAATTAAGAGAGCAATTTTCTAAAAATACATTAAGAGATAATAAAATTAAAATTTTATCCTTCCAATATTACTTACAATTTATTAATAAAATAATAAAGGTTAAATCCAACATACATGAAATTTAGTATTGTTATTTTCACAATTTTCATTAAAATATTACTTATTTATGAAATCCAGTATAATAAACATTGAAAACTGTTTATTAACTTTTCGTTCTGGTTAAAAATTGAATTAGTTTAAGATAAATGATAGCGCAAAAATACAAACTGATATCCAAAGTTGATTGAAAAGAGCCAAATAGTTTAGAAAGTAAGTAATTTTTAGCAGAAATTCTTGATCATATATCAGAAAGGGAAACAACTTACTGATTAGAAATTGCTTTTATCAATAATTTATCTATTGAATAGGTTTGTCTTAATATTAATTACTTTCCTTATTCGAATATAAATATAAATTCTACTCTAATTTTTTGATTATCATCATAGTTGAGTTCAAAAAATAATTTAGAGATATGTAAAAATTTTACTTGAATCAACCTTTTTTAATTTTGTTGGAGTTTCATGAAACAGTAAATTAAATAAGGAGCTTTAAAATACTTTTATTCCTATTAAAATTGAAATCTAAATTGAAAGAAATAAATGTCTATAAAAATATGAAGATATTGGTTTTAAGTAGTATTGAAAATAATCCTTACCAATTTTAGTGCTTTATTGATAAAAAACATACGGTTCAGAGTTTTCTTTAAATTAAGGTAGTTGGGGAGTTTAGGTAATAGTATCATAGTCTTACAACAATAATTACTTTAATTTTATATCTTATAATTAAATATGATTTGTATTAATATCAAGCAAATGTGAATTATTTAAATAATCTAATAAACTTTCTTTGATATTAGCAAGATTACAATATGAAATTTCTCATTATATTAATAATCATATTTATTTTTATAAATTATCACAATAAATTTTGATTTAATTTCATAATGATATATCAAATATGTATTTATGCAAATTCTATTATTTTATAGTATTATTTGATGTTGAAAATCTCATGTATTGTTTATTCATCTTTAATTTATTATATAAATGTATTTGAATTAACTGATTTTTAGAAATCTTCTGTTTCATTATTCTATATATTTATTTATTCTTGATTTTATATCAATGTTTAAATCAAAATTATATTGCCATTATAAAATAAAAAATTTTGATATCTTCTATCTTAAACTTCCAGATCTTAGTTAAAGACTTCTTACTAATCAACTTTAGCTTTTTTGATTAATGTAATTAATATAAGCAAATATATGTTATATTTTTCTTTATTTTTTTATATGAGTTGTTAAATTCTCATATTTAATTATTCTATGGAATTTTCTTTGTAAATTCATCAATATAGATTTAATTCTAATATTTATTATCTTATTCTTTAAATGAAGATGGGTTTATTAATCAAATTTTATTTGGTTAATTTAATCGAATTTATTTTGGAATTAACTTTTATTTGTGACAATGAATATTTTTGATCCATTGAAATCCATTAAAGCTTTGAAAGAACTTCATCATTAGTCAATATGTGTTCCTGATACCAATATTTCATCATTACTTGTTAACATCACTCATTATGTACTTAACTTAATTTATCAATTAGCAACAAAGAAAAAATTTTTAATCTTAATTTCAATTTATTTGAACATAATATAATTTTTATGAAGTTTTAATTAATTTTTATTCAATTTTTTAATCTTCCAGAAAATAATAGAATTTAAAGAAATATGAATAAAATGTTATCCTAAAACCAACAAGAACCAAAGAACTTTGATTCAGATAATGAAAAATTAGAGCCATAAGATTTTGAAGTTGAATAATCAGATACAATCAGATCTTTTATAAAATAAATTTAAACCTAAAATGAATATTAATTAATATAACTACATTTTGTATTATTAGGATGGAAAAGCCATAAAAATGTAATAAATAAATTATTCATAAATGAGAAGAATTTAGACCCAATAAAACTTAAAAAAAGATGTGTTAAAAAATTTGAATAGTTAAAATTTCTTTTTTGGCATAGAAATTAAGTAACTCAAAAAGGAATTAAAAAAATAGTAAATCTTGCATTGAATAAATTAAATGCAGTTTAGAATGTTCATCAACTAGATTTTTTATTTTTTTTCCTCTATTTTCAATGATTAATAACTAATTTAAAAAAGAAATAATTTAAAATTAGTTGCATTCAAATTTTTGTATTATTGTTCTAAGTGGATTAAATTTGATTGAAATAAATATTACATAAATCTCAGATTTTTAAACAGTGTAATAAATCCAAATAAATTAAAAGTATAATAGCATTTCTTGTTATCAAAGCCAACCTTTTTACACAAGCCATAAAATAGTAATTAATAACATTGTTTAGTTAGAAGTCTGAAGCTAACTATTTTAGAAGCTTATGGTTGCACAAATAGGAGTGCCAAAATTATTTATGTTATAATATCCTTATAAATCTTTTTCAAATTAATAATATATTAAATCCTTCTTTATATTAGCTTATAAAATAACTATTAAGAATATTAAATATAATTTTTTTTATTCTTAAAATAATTTAAGATCATAAATTTGATAATAACATTCCTCATCCTATTAAGATATTTTGAGATTGATACTCTGACTTAGCGTTATCATTTACACTTTGTTATGCCATATCTAAAACATGATTTTCCTTCAATATATATCTTTTTATCGAAAAAAATTCAAGGCTGAATCATGTTTTTAGATAAAGGAAATAACTGAAAAATTAATTTAACTAAAAAATTAAATTAAGATTTATTTTTCAGGCCCTTCAAAAGGGTTTGAATGAAAGTCCGTGAGCCTGTGACTTCTGTCTGTCTATGAGTACCTTATGCTCATAGAAGGGTCTTGTATGGACTGGGAGCCCTCAAATAGGGTGACCATCATTCTTAAACAACAAAATGCTGTCAAAATCAAATACTAGTCAAAGGATGCTTGTCTGGGT